CTCGGTCACTAGCCCCCCCCCGGCCCCACCTTGACCCCCCGGATGCGGAACTCGGCCAGGGCCCGGCTCATCTTGGCTGCGGCCGCCGGCTGGTCCGGCCCGTGCGCCACCACCTTGACCAGCAGGGAGTCGTAGTGGGGCGAGATCAGAGCGCCCTGGAACGCCGAGGCGCCGTCCAGGCGGATCCCCATCCCCTCCCCGGAGCGGAACGCCTGCGGGAGACACCCCAAAAACCCATGGAGACTCCCCAAAACCATGGAGACACCCCAAAACCCCATGGAGACCCCAAATCTGGGAACACCCCGAGGCGCCGTCCAGGCGGATCCCCATCCCCTCCCCGGAGCGGAACACCTGCGGGAGACACCCCAAAAACCCATGGAGACACCCCAAAACCATGGAGACACCCCGAAACCCCATGGAGACACCCCGAAACCATGGAGACACCCCAAAACCCCATGGAGACCCCAAATCTGGGAACACCCCGAGGCGCCGTCCAGGCGGATCCCCATCCCCTCCCCGGAGCGGAACACCTGCGGGAGACACCCCAAAAACCCATGGAGACACCCCGAAACCATGGAGACACCCCGAGATCCTATAGAGACACCCCAAAACCCTATAGAGACTCTGAAACCCTATAGAGACACCCTGAAACACTATGGAAACACCAGAATCCTATGGAGACCCCAAAACCCTATAGAAACCCCAAAACCCTATGGAGACAACCCAAAACCCTATAGAGACCCCAAAATCCAATGGAAACACCTCAAAATCCTATAGAGACACCCCAAATCCTATCGACAACTCAAAATCCTACAAACACATCCACAGACCCCTCCAAGCCTACGGACACACCACGGGAAGGCCCAAGGGGGGATCCGTGGGTGGGGGTCCCCCAGAGGATCTGTGGGTGGGGGTCCCGGGGCTGTCCCCATCCCAGGGCTGTCCTCATCACGGGGGTGCCCCGGTGCTGTCTCGGGGGTCCCAATGCTCTCCCCGTCCTGGGGGTCCCCGGGGGCTGTCCCGCTGTCCCAGTGCTGTCCCCATGCCAGAGCTGTCCCCATCTCGGTGCTGTCCCCATCCCGGGGCTGTCCCTGTCCCGGTTCTGTCCCCATCCCGGTGCTGCCCTGGTGCTGTCCCTGTCCCGGGGCTGTCCCGGGGCTGTCCCGATCCCGGTGCTGACCCTGGCCCCGTGCTGTCCCCGTCCTGGGGGTGCCCCGGGGCTGTCCCGGGGGTCCCGGTGCTGTCCCCATCCCAAAGCTGTCCCCGTCCCGGGGGCGCCTCGGGGCTGTCCCCATCGTGGTGCTGTCCCTGTCCCGGGGCTGTCCCGGGGGTCCCGGGGGTCCCGGTGCTGTCCCCATCCCAAAGCTGTCCCCGTCCCGGGGGTGCCTCGGGGCTGTCCCCATCGTGGTGCTGTCCCTGTCCCGGGGCTGTCCCGGGGGTCCCGGGGGTCCCGGTGCTGTCCCCATCCCAAAGCTGTCCCCGTCCCGGGGGTGCCTCGGGGCTGTCCCCATCGTTGTGCTGTCCCTGTCCCGGGGCTGTCCCGGGGGTCCCGGTGCTGTCGCTGTCCCCGTCCCGGGGCTGTCCCGGGGGTCCCGGTGCTGTCGCTGTCCCCGTCCCGGGGCTCCCGGGGGTGGCGGGGGTCCCGCACCTCGATGCGGCCGGTGTCGGGCTGGAAGCCGCGCGCGGGGTCCTCGGTGGTGACGCGGCACTGGATGGCGCAGCCGTTCACGCGGATCCGCTCCTGCTGCAGCCCCAGCTCGGGCAGGGAGCGGCCCGCGGCCACCTGCAGCTGCGCGTGCACCAGGTCCACGCTGGGGACACGGGGACACGGGGACACGGGGTCAGGGACACGGGGACACCGGGTCAGGGACACGGGGACAGCGGGGACACGGGGGACAGCGGGGACACGGGCTCAGGGGGGTCAGGGACACGGGGACAGCGGGGACACGGGGGATGTTCTCCCTGACCCCAATTTTCTTCTGGGTACTTCAATGTCCACTTGAGTCCTGCTCAATGTCCATCTTGGTCACTCAATGTCCACCTCTGTCCCTCAATGTCTGTCTTGGTCACTCAATGTCCACCTGGGTCCCTCAATGTCCATCTTGGTCCCTCAATGTCCATCTTGGTCACTCAATGTCCACCTGGGTCCCTCAATGTCCACCTGGGTCCCTCAATGTCCACCTCAGTCCCCCAAGATTCTCCTCGATGTCCTCCCAGGATCCCACCCCCATTCCCCCGGGGTGTCCCCACAGTGTCCCCGCTGTCCCCAGGGGTGTCCCCGCTGTCCCCACAGTGTCCCTGCTGTCCCCCAGGACATCCCCGGGCTGTCCCCGCTGTCCCCAGGGGTGTCCCCAGAGTTGTCCCCACTGTCCCCAGGCTGTCCCCGCTGTCCCCGGGCTGTCCCCGCTATCCCCAGGGGTGTCCCCAGGGTTGTCCCCGCTGTCCCCAGGCTGTCCCCGCTGTCCCCGGGGGTGTCCCCAGGGGTGTCCCCAGGGTGTCCCCGCTGTCCCCAGGCTGTCCCCGCTGTCCCCAGGGGTGTCCCCAGGGGTGTCCCCGCTGTCCCCAGGCTGTCCCCGCTGTCCTTGGGCTGTCCCCGCTGTCCCCAGGGGGGTCCCCAGGGTTGTCCCCGCTGTCCCCAGGGGTGTCCCCAGGGGTGTCCCCAGGGTGTCCCCGCTGTCCCCAGGCTGTCCCCGCTGTCCCCAGGGGTGTCCCCAGGGGTGTCCCCGCTGTCCCCAGGCTGTCCCCGCTGTCCTTGGGCTGTCCCCGCTGTCCCCAGGGGTGTCCCCAGGGTTGTCCCCACTGTCCCCAGGCTGTCCCCGCTGTCCTTGGGCTGTCCCCGCTGTCCCCAGGGGTGTCCCCAGGGTTGTCCCCGCTGTCCCCAGGGGTGTCCCCAGGGGTGTCCCCAGGGTGTCCCCGCTGTCCCCAGGTGGGTCACCTGCCGGGCCAGGCGCACGGCGTCGTCGGCCAGGCGGGCGCGGAGCTCCGGGGGCAGCCGCGCGGCCGGGGCGATCTCCACGACCTTCTGGTGCCGGCGCTGCACCGAGCAGTCGCGCTCGTAGAGATGGACCACGTTCCCGTGGCAGTCACCTGGGGGGCGGGAACCCCAAAAATGGAACTGGGAACCCCAAAAATTGAACTGGGAACCCCAAAAATGGACAAACAGACCCCAAAAATGGAACTGGGAACCCCAAAAATGGAACTGGGAACCCCAAAAATGGA